TAAGATGAGGATGGCATAGCTGATATGATAGCTAACTATTCAGTGCAGTCCATGGACGCCCCTTCTATTCCCCAGGTCTTACCCTGCCCCTTTTCCGTATGATCCTAAAACCCTACTTAAACCCTCTTCAGATCTCCTGCTTTGACCATGGCTATTTACTTCGTCTACCCACTCCATACATGTGAGATCCATTCTGGCCGGCACATGGGGAGGTGAGGGTGAAGGGAGGGGAGAAGGTTTTCAGGGGGCGAACCCGGGCGAGGGCAGGGATATTAGAGACATGGGGAGGGAGGGAGGGAGAGGCCGAGGTGGAAGTGGAGAGGGCTAGACGATGAACCAGGGAAGCTGGTCGTTGCGCAGAGGTGCAGAGTTTTGAACCCACAACCTCATACGTCAAATGCCCATTGACAACCGGTGCCCTAACCATAGGTTTTTTTTTTTTTTTTTTTTTTTTTTTTTTTAAAACTTCGTATATGGGAAACCTACTTAGCGAGGTGATAAGAGCATCCCCGGTAAGTAGGCCCCGGCGTCGAAGGCTCCATCTAAATCGGGTCCAGCGTCCCTATACAAATGATGAAAATGTATCTGCTGGAAATCAGGTCCAGCGTCCTTGTGCCATGGTGTGACTGTGTGTGCTGGAAAACGAGTCCAGCGTCCCTATCGATCTGATGTATAGAACCTCGCAAACAAAATGAAACATCAGTCCTATCAGGCGAAACCCTAATCATGATATAATGTATATTACAGTACAGTGATTTGTATCTGCTGGAAATCGGGTCCAGCATCCCTATACCATATTACAGTGATATGATTTGTGTCTGCTGGAAAACGGGTCCAGCGTCCCTATATCGTGTTGTGTAACTATGTCCAACAAGCAGAAACTATCTACATATGTCCATATTCTATCTATCGAATTGTAATCATGAAACCCTAATCACTATATGATGTATATTATCTTTTATTAATCAAGCCTAAAAGCAAAGCTCTGTCAATGATGAGAGATGTATGATCTGGATGCCCAGTCCAGTATGGAATATGCATTATCATGTGAGACTATCAGGAAGGATTAACCTCCTGCTAATAATCCCTGAACATCCCACCACCACCCCACACGATGATCAGCCCCCCGTCGATGATTGGTATTGCAGGCCGGACAACATCAATCACCCGCAGCTATCCTATTCCCATCCTCCTCCAAACCACGAGGAGGAACTCCATATGAAGGTTGGAGAGGGGGAAAGCAGTAAACCGCTTCTCTGTATCAACCCCATCTCCCACCACTTCCACTTGCAACATCCCTCCCAAC